CGTATGGAATAGTATATATATATATATATATATATATATATATATAATATATCCGTTTGATAAATCTTTGCATAAATATAGACAGATTTGATGTTAAATGGGTGTAGTTTTACAGCTGAAAATATGAATCGATTTTTATCTGTATGTTCCCATTCTGTTAACATTCATGTTTTAGAAATTCTAAGGCTTTTCTGACAACTAAGATATAAATTTCAAAATTTTCGCTTATGTTTATTATTATTTAAAAAAAAACCTATGTTTGGAATGAACATTAGGATTTTAATTACTGTTATAATTAAATTGTGTGTGTGATAAAAAGGAGAAAAAGACGTAGCAAATGTTGATGGCGTATTTAAGAGGAAGAATTATGTTTACGTAGAATATTAAATCCATAATGAATAGGAAACTGGGCAGTCGAGGCGGATTAAATTCCATTTTGATTGGAATTGACATTTGTGGCCACAATTCGCTTAGCACTCTAATATGATTTTGCACATTAATTTTTAAACTTTATATAAGATACATCTTATATGTATTTATGTTTCTATAAAATGTCCCGAACGAATAAGCACACGAAGTCCCTATCTTTATGGAATTTTATTAATACTGGGTAGTATTGTCCTGATAAGATGGCCAAGTCTGCCAAGCAGAATATAAACTAGGTGGTTAAGGAAAATTTGAATAAACATATGACCTGTTAAATACAACCGACTAAATGCCAGAGAACTGTTTTTCTTTGTCTGATAATTTTTGCAAAGTATGTGAAACCGAAATATTGCGATGATTTCGTTCAACATCTATACGAGAAATGTTTTGAATTTTATACGAGAATATTTTGAATTTGAATAACGCAAATGATTAACATTGTTTCTTCCTCAGTTGTTTATCCGAGGTTGAACAGGTTGGCTGTTGTGTGATTTTTCTTTTCTATGTGTCACAAATTGCCAAAGAATCTATGAGTTAGACCTGTGAATCGTAATCAACATTGGCCTGTAAGCGCATTTCTTTGAAGGAGCTAACGCCTTACTGCATTGCCATTATTACTTATGTTTTACTAACTAACGAAATGAAAATATAAGTAATTAGATATAAAAGCCGACGTTCGAAATTAGTTTTAAAAAATCCAAATTTACTTAGCTTTCTACTGTATGTTTATTTTTCAAATTAAATAGGATAAATTACTAGAGTTTTACAGTTCACATCGATATTTTTCTTCCCCCTCCTCTTCAATTTTTTTTTCCTTGTCAGTTAAAAATGTCTAAAATAAATTTCGTAATTTGAAACACATCGATACAATGCACCAAAAACGCATGTTTTTCAAAATCCACACGGGAATTCGAGAAATTTGCCATGTATTTCTTTTCTACACTGCTGGCCATTAGAATTGCAGCACCGTGAAGCAAATTATATACAAAAAAGATATTTATTGTACTTAAACAATATGGCACGAAGACAAAATGATGAAATTTGTAAGCAGTTTGGAAGTTTACAGGGGTGCGAAATGAGTAGAAACTGCTGCCAACCCGGGCAGATAAAATGGCCCTTACTTGGTTAGGCAGGGAGCCAAACTGGGCTTGGATGACTGAAACGGGCAACTCATTCCATTCCGCTTCAAGTCTATGCACCACTTCATCAACCGCGTTAGCTGGAGATGGGTGGCGGGCCAGTCTCTCAGCAAAACATGACCAGATTTTTACAAGTGGTAACAGATCTGGAGACCGTTCAGGCCAGGAAAGCAGTCGAATACCCTGTGTATCGAGGAAGGTCAGAACGCGACGTGCAACATGTGATTTTGCATTATCTTGTTGGAAGATCGCGTTTGCCATACCTCGAAGATAAGGCACAACCACTGGACGTAAGACGTCAAAAATGTATCGATTTGCGTTGAAATTACCGTCGATCCGAACCAGAGATTTGCTTGTCGTGTACCGAATGGCTGCCCGAGCCATCACATGCCGATATCGAATGCAAGCAGGCGACGTGAAGTCTACTCGGATACTCCAGACACGTATACGGCCATCAGAATACTGCACGAAGAAGCCAGACGCGTCTCAAAAGACGACATTGTGCCACTTCTGTATCCAGCCTTGTCGTTTGGCTCACCAAAGTCGAAACTCTCTCTATGCTGCATTGTCAAGGGAACACAAATTAATGGTCTCCATGATGACAGTCCACGCTGCTGCAAACGTCGACGCACCGTACGAGAGGATACTGCGCGTGCTGCAAACATGCCAATTTCCTGACTAATGATCCGTAATGTAGCTGTCCGGTTTTGTAGGGCTGACCTCGCAATATGTCTGTCCTCTTGGGCGTTAGCCATGGGAGAGCGTTACGATTTTGCATGCCGTTCAGTATGATCATCAGCAACCCACTGATATCACGGAATGATAATCCACACTCTCGATCGGCAACGATCCTGCCTCTATCGAATTCGGACTGCTGCTGGTAAATTTCTGCTGGTGATAATTTCGTTTTCTTATTCGTTTTCTTATTTCTGAATGAGAAATCCACTACACAACTTCTGTTTTATGCAGTACGCTTCAGATGTCGTGTCTTCCTTCTGCGTCGTCTAAATGTGTTGAAATACTTATCATTTGCATATCCCAACCTCTTCTTCCTTTCAAGTGAGTTTGACGTTCGTCAGATTATTACTTCCTCGTGTTGCTATTTTAATGGTGTAATTTTTATAATCCAATAGCTAAAGATTTGTTTCAGTATTGAAATCGGTCAGTTTTTGAAAACGTTTTAAATCTAGCAACGTTCTGTATTGTTTACATGCAATAAAAAAGCTGATGTGTATACCACATTAGTTCTTTGTACGGAATATTAAATTACACGCACTTTTTCCTGCATTTTATTTAAATAAATTTCCTCGAGTTACATTAGAGATATATTTCTAAGGCAAAAATACATAAAAACTCAAATTGTTTTCATTGAAAATTGAACGATGTAGAAAAACATTAAACACCAAATGCACTTAAAACATTCAAAACAATTTGCAGTTTCTACGCAAAAAGAAGCAATAGGCAAACAGGCAGAATTTTTGGTGCACGAAACTAAAAATTTCCTTTTGGTCCCACTCGGCAAAAAAGGCACTGAAGGTGTAGAAAGGATTAATTCGCTATTCAGCTAAATTTCAAATGTAAACAGATACGGCTGCTACAGTAAAAAAAACTGATCTGTACACCTCATGACTTCCTTGTACGGAATGTTAAACTATACGCACTGTTTGCTGCATTTCATTAAAACGTATTGCCTCGAATTTCATTAGAGATATATTTCTCATTCAATTAATTCTGTTCTCAGTTCGCGGCAACGCAAAAATACATAAAAACCTCAAAATATCTTCCTTAAAAATTGAAAAATAAAACACCAAATACTGTTAAAACAATAAAAAAACACATTTCACAATTAAAATTAGAGTTTCTATTCAAGAATAAGAAATACGGCCAGCAGACAACAAGGGAGATTTTTCAGTGCACAAAAATTAAAGTTATGTCAAAAAGCTACTGAAGGTGCAGAAATTGGATTCACTATTCTGCTAAGTTTGAAACGTAAAGCTTAGCGGCACTTAAACAACTTTTAAGTGGTTGATAATTCTACAACTGTCTTTGCAGATTAGCTAAAGACATAACAGCTTTAATCGGAAGATAAGAACAACTTAATTCAATCATTTTTAAAGAAAAAAATGCGCATTTTACCAACATATAAGAATTAAAAAAAACTGAGCTCATGGAGTACGTATATATATATATATATATATATATATATATATATATGTTGTATGAATTTAATCCATTTAGTGCGAATACAAGTTATTATTACTTGCGCAATTGCTGCAAAGTTAGTTAATAATAATTATTTCCTTAACAGTATTGATTAATTGATTATATTATCTCCTAGTTTAATTAAAGTAGAATTATTTAAAAGTGTGCATCCATACTGGTAAGTTATATTTTGAAAGATGTTTTTGAAGTAATTTGAAAGCAAAATGTTAATAATGTTTTAAACGGGGACTGGAGTTAAATCATCACGAAGAATAATATTACAATTGTAAAAGTAAAAATTAAAACATGTAATTATTGTCATTGATCGGAAATTAGTTGACTTTTCAAGGGGGAACAAACCAACTCCCGTTCAAAGAACGTATTTTTATCAATTATTGATCTTTGAACGGAAGTTGGTTTGTTCCCCTTGAAAAGTCAACTAATTTCCGATCAATGACAATAATTACATGTTTTAATTTTTACTTTTACAATTGTAGTATTATTCTTCGTGATGATTTAACTCCAGTCCCCGTTAAAACATTATTAACATTTTGCTTTCAAATTACTTCAAAACATCTTTCAAAATATAACTTACCAGTATGGATGCACACTTTTAAAATAATTCTACTTTAATTAAACTTAGGAGATAATATAATCAATTAATCAATACTGTTAAGGAAATAAATTATTATATATATATATATATATATACTTTCGGTGCGGCTGATTGCAACCAAAAAGGAGGTGCACAACTACATATTATAGCAGTCCAAATATGTCTTCATCCATTTTAAATCCGTTTGCATTAGATAACGGTCAAAATGGTTAATTTCGTTGAAATATGGTACCCGGAATTTTTCATGATTACAATACTTCTTTTACTTTGTACGAGAAAGTAATATAAAACACTTTGTTTGGCTCTTACAAGTCTAGATTTCTGGATAAAGTTTTACACTAAGTATTTATTTTGGATAGAAACATCAGACGGTGTCAAACTCAACAATGATAGTAAAATTTCTGGTGGTAACAGAAATTAAAAATTATTATTTCAAACAGAGGAAGATGTAAAATTTCAGTTAATCGTGTTAATTGAGATTGAATATTTGTCGCATGATATCGAATGTTAATATAGTACTAGTTGTCATCAGTTAACATTAAAATATATAAATGGATATATTTTGTCTTGATAATGGCCAGATTTTCTTCTAATAACTTTATCTTGTTTTCTTTCAGATAATCAAAAAATTCAAGGCAATCAAAGAATTTCATGTTGTACGAGTTTACACAGACTCTGGTGTTGTCTATCGTATGTGTTGTCTGTATTCGCCTGAAATGTTACATGAAAATTTTATTTGGGAAGCTGAAGATTTAGTTCGGATTAAGTGTATTTAAAGCTATGCTTCCTTCCAGTATATACAGTATTCTATATAAATCTCTTTTGTCGAATGTTTACTCGTGTATTTTCTCTGTATGACATTTTTTATCTAAATAAATTACATATAAAGTATGTAAATACATTCGTACTTATACATTACATAAATACACGTCTTGACAGGGAAAACATAAAATTAGAGTTCGATAAAACATATATATCGAGTTCTAATTTTAGGTTTTCCCTATCAAGACGTGCAGTTTGATAATGCATCTACATCACTTAATGTATCTACATCACTTTCATCATATAAAGCATATTTTGAATCTTACATATTCTACTTTTATGTGAAATGTTCAAACAAAATTAAAAAAAAAAAAAAAAAAAAAAAAAAAAGATATACATCAAAATTCAAAAATGACATGTTTTATACATTTGTACGCATTTGACGGCGGTAAAGTTAAATTTTCTTAGTGAATACATTTATATTATGCATTTATAGCATAGCATTTTTACCCCGATAAAGCAGGTTAATACAGTTGAGCTGGATGGCAGCAATGGCAAAACTACTGGGAGACAAGCACCACAGGAAGAAGACTGTATAATTTCCAACAAAAAGTTAACTAGAATTTAAATAGCTGCTCTTCGCACTTTACACAGTATCTCAAAGGGCATGGCCCATATATGACCTATCTTCACAGATTTCGTCTAAGAGACAGTGACCAATGTATTTGTGGCAGTACTGGTGACCCAGATCACTATCTGTTTCAATGCCCGCACACAGCGAATTCACATTTAAAAATACCAGCTGCAATCAATATGCCGGCACGGTTCAAGAATATAATTAAGAATAAATATGCGCTCAGCCGCATTAGAGACTGCACTACCATTGCTAAAAGCATTGCTGACAGCTTAGAGTGACTTCTTTACTTGGACATCGAGCCGTTCTGTACATATATTAATTTACTGGATGTCTTTTTTTTGCCTTGTTCTGTTTTTAACTATATTTAATTTTATGATTAATCCAGAACTCTTTTAATGTATCCCACAATTTGTAACGTATTTGTTCACATCTGTATCTGATTATATAGCATATCCTTAATATAACTGTATGTCTAACATGCACCATAACTGTATAACTGTATGCCTAGCATGTGCCATAATAAGTGATCCCCTTAGTCTCAGATGCCCCCACCATGCACCTTCTTTCCATGTCCTGGTCCTTATTTCAATGCCCCTCGTTTAGCGTGGTCAAATGCAGGTACTATGATCTTTATTTATATTTATTTATGCATTTATTTTTAATTTCATAGACGGAATTCAACAGGTTGAAAAGCACCTAACCCAGTGGGCCAGCTGTGCCGTCGATGGCGAAAAGAAAGAAGGTTGGGCTGCAAAGTTTTCAGTTGTGACGTACCTATGAATAATTCTGAACACATATATTAAAATATCTAATGTGTACATCACATGACTTCCTTGTACGGAATATTAAATTATGTGCAATTTTCCTGCATTTCATTTAAACATTTTGAAGTAACAGTTAATGAATTTTTAATTAAAAATATTTCTTCGATAACGCATAAGCCACAATAATAAATACTAATAATATACAAATACTAATAATACACAATATTAAATACTTTAAATTTAAAGTTCACTATATTTAGTTACCATAGCAACACTTCGGATCTATTTTCTCTTAACTGCGTTACATCTCATTCATTTTATAACTCAGAGTGCACAAAAATTACATCATCTGAAGAATTACCACAAGTTCTATTCAAATACTATAATAAATCTAAAAGGATGTATAAAAGAAATTAAACAAATAAAAAAGAAACAGTTTTTTTACTGACGATTCAGCGCTGCTAACCTAATGCGCGTGCACTACTAATTAATTAAGTTCTAACTTCGCGGAAGAGCAAAAATACATAAAAATTCAAAATAATTTCATTAAAAATTGAAAGATATTAGAAAAACATAAAACACCAAGTACAGTTAAAACACTTAAAATGTTTAAAATTAAAATTACAGTTTTACACAAAAGCAAGCTAATAACTTAAATGATAATTCCAGAATGAATCATACATCATTTAATTCGCAATAATAAAAGAAGACGTTACTTTGTTCTTGTGAAGCTTAATTTCATAGACTGGCAACAAATCCACTATTCTGCTAAGTTTCAAAAGTAAACAAATATGGCTGCCATCATAAAAAAAATTAGACTTAGTCGCACTTAAAAAACTTTTTAATTGTTGATAATTCCACAATTATTGCGTGCACGTTAACTTAAGGCATAAAAACCGGAAGATGATAACACTATAATTCAATCATTTTTAAAGCAAAAAATGCACAATTTACAAACATGTAAGAATAAATAATCTGAGCTCACTGAGCTGAGTAACAGAATGGATATATATATGCATATATTTGTATACTTTAGGTGAGGCCGATTGTGCAACCAAAATAGGAGGTGCACATCTACATGTTATAACAGTCCTATATACAAAATTTCAACGTTCTGAGATTACTCAGAACGTTTTTGAGTTATGAACGTTTTTGAGTTTTGTTACATACATACATATGTACGTACAAAAGGCCTCGAAAAAATCTCTTCAGAATTCATTTTAAATCAGATTTATAATTTTTGGGAAGAAAAAGAGTTCTTTATTCTACCCTTACATATAGATGTCACGCAAAATCATCGTTAAATTGAATTCGATAGTGTTCAAAATGGATATTTTCGTTGAAATATGATACCAGAAATTTTTCGGGATTACAATACTTCCTTTTTACTTCGGATATGGAAGTAAAAATAAATACATTTAATTATATTCTTTCAGTTCAATTCTGCATTGTTCAACAACCATCTGGGTAAAAATGAATATCTTTCCGTGCAAATAATTATATTAGTAAACGTATTTACTAAAAGCTTATTCAAAACATATTCCTCTTTTGCATATGTATGAAAAGCAGTATAACTAATAAAATTACAACAATTAACAGAATGAATACAGATTCCTAAAGGAATGAATATAGAAGTCTATCAGATCCAATAAATTAATTTTAAACAAGGAATAGCTGGTCAAGTCTCCTCTTTTTTTTTTTTTTTTTTTTTTTTTTTAATCTCTTTCGAAAAAAGAGGACATACAAGCTTCCTAAATTGGGTTTTACATTAATCGGAAACAAACAATCGATTACGTGCACTCGCTTGCTGGGGTAACTACTAAGAATTTTGTTTGCGTTTAGAGATCTTTGCGAAATGCATCCAATATTCTTTTCGTTTCAAAAATAGAAATGTTACAGGAAAACCACTGAAATACGAGTTTTTGCTATAGACTAAAAGCTCACATAAATTTCGAAATATTTATGTTTCCTTTCAAGAAAACTTCCTTTCTTTCGGGAGATACTGTTAGACAGAAAAAAGGTGGAATGTATTTTTCCATAAGCAATGGCTAAAACCATAGATTGCAAGTGATGAAATTTCTAAGCAAACATTTCTAAATTTCTAAATGCATTCATATTCCGGAAACAAATAAATGTAACATAAGTAAATGAATGAAATTGTCATTCAACATTAAGCACGTTAAAAATGACGTTATAATTGCACCGATGGGTTTTGATTAACTGCTGTTAAAATAGATCTGCAGTGAAGAAGAAAATTTAGCAAATGATAAATGTTAGAACGTGGTTCTCAATCTTTAAACGAAAGATCATACTAATAAATATAATATTAATTTTCGGATGATGCAATTTATATTCACATCTCCCTTTTTTTTTTTTTTTTTTTTTTTTTTTTTTTTTTTTTTTTTTTTTTTTTTTTTTTTTTTTTTGAGAGAGAGAGAGAGCAAGGGGACATGACCAAGTTAAAAACATGAATTAAAAGTACCGTTGCTAAAGTTAGAAATTTTGTTATTGATCTCCTTTCATACTTTCATATATAATATCTTATATGTATCTATCTCTCCATATATTAATTATTAGTCCAAAGGGGCAATTTGCCCAGAAGGACTATTAATTTCGCTTTGGCATTTTGCGTTGATTCACTACAAGCGTTGTTTCGCTTTTGAAATTGTCGCTACTAAATACTATCGCCCTGTATTATATTTTTATATTTAAAGAAATTAAATTATGAAGAATCTTAATAAATGCATATATTTTTCTCGCATTGTGATAAAACAACGGTACCTAGATCCATCGAATTTTGAATAACGTAATCCTCCTTTGAATATCAGCATCTGAAAACCCAAATTTGTTATCGATTTCATATGTAAAATTTTAACGGATTCTTGCTAACAAACTCAAGGATTTCAAAGCCAGCAATGTTGTACAGAAAAAACACTTTTACCTCAAACCGCAAGACAGTATATTGGGAATTCCGAAGATATGCTCATTTTAAAATTATTTTGTGATATATTCCTGTTGAACTGAATTTTATGTTTAAGTGCGAAGAACGTGATATTTAAAAAATAATGGTGAAACACAAAATGTTATAAAAAGCCATTTGGGATGTAATTTAAAATCTGAAACCTTTCAGATTTTAATATATAAATATATTATATTGATATATGAATATGAGGGCTATCCAGAAAGTAGATTACGTTTTGGAATAAAAAATAAACAAAGTATAGGAAACAAATTTTATTATATACAGATGAAAGCCACACTCAAATACTACTTTTTCTACATAGTCACCATACAAATTAAGGCATTTATCGTAGCGATGTACGAGCTTGGAAATTCCTTCGTCGAAAAATTCGGCCGCCTGCGCTTTCAACCACTTCGTTACCTCTTCTTGCAGCTGTGCGTCGTCATCAAAACGCATTGATTGCAATTTCGTTTCACAGTTCACATGTTTCACCCATGTTTCGTCACCAGTAACGATGCGATCGAGTAAAGAGTCACCATCCTTATGGTAAGCGTCCAAAAAGTTCAACGCTGCAGCCATTCGCTGATTTTTTGTGGTCCTCTGTCAAGATTTTTGGAATCCATCTTGCACAAAACTTGTGGTAACCCAAGCTTTTCGCTGATGATTTCGTGCAACAAACTTCGCGAAATTTGTGGAAAACTCAAAGAAAGTTCCGTATTTGTGAAATTTCGATTTTTCACGGACTTTAGCATCGACTTTTTCGAGAAGTTCGGCGGTCACTATGCTGGGTCTCCTCTCCCACTTCGATCTTCGTCGTGAACATTGGTTCGGCCATTTTGAATCTTATGACCCACTGACGCACTCCACCTTCAGTGATAATGTTGTCCCCATACACTTCACGAAGCTGCCGATAGATTTCTATCGGTTTACAGTTTTTTGCAGTCAGAA